GGTGCATGCCACCATGCCCGGCTAATTTTTTGTATTTTTAGTAGAGACAGGATTTTACCATGTTGGTCAGGCTGGTCTTGATCTCCTGACCTCATAATCCGCCTGCCTTAGCCTCCCAAAGTGCTAGGATTACAGGCATGAGCCTCTGTGCCTGGCCAATCTTTTGATTTTTTAAGAGAAATTGGAAATCAAGATGTATGTGGACTCTGGTTTTTATGTGACATGTGAGAGTGGGATGTGAGAGGCAGTAGAGTACAGTGGCTGACAGCATGGACTCTGGAGTCAGTCTACTTGAGTTTGAATTCTGGCTTGGAATCTTAGTAGCTGTGTGACCTTAGGCAAGTTGCCTAACCTCTCTGTTTTAGCTTCCTGATTCACACAATAGGGATACTAATAGTATCTGCCTTCTAGGGTTGTTATGAAATGTAAATGAGCTAATGCATATACAGTGCTTATGACAGTGACCCTGTTTAGCTATGTAAGTATAGCCTAAATGTCATATATATACACACACACACACACAGAGCTCTACACAGACCAAGTGGCCCTGTTTATTTATATACATAAAGGCTAAATGCCCACAACACAGTGTAGGTCTTACAGGACACTCTTTAAATTAATAGTGGGCAACCTCTGGCTTAAACCCATTCATTCTGTAGGTGAATCCTAAGTAATTTGATCATGTAATCTATCGCCTAAAGCAGGACACACTAGAGAGAAGGTGAAAGGAGGCTCTATTACTTGTTATGGTGTGACAACAGGTGAGCATCACACTGTCCCCAGCAAACTGGTCTCCCTGCTCCTAAGTGCCATCTTTGTATAAGAAAAAAATAACAAGCAGCTTTTACCTATAAACTTCCAAATGCCAGGTCATACATGTGTGCTTTATACATGGGACAACTTGTGGAATCTTCACAGCGATCCTAGGAGGTGTCATTACTCTTTTTACTTTAACTGAAGAGTAAACTGAGACACAGAGACATTAAGGAATTTAAAACCACACTGTAGTGGAGTCAGTCAGGTTCCAAAGTCTTACCTCGTAGCTGTGCCATTCTTTCCCGTGGGAGCAAGGCAGCAATAAGAATGTTGAACCCTGGCCGGGTGCCAGGGCTCACACCTCTGATCCCAGCAGCTGGGGAGGCCAAGGCAGGCCAATCACATGAGGCCAGAAGTTCGAGACCAGCCTGACCAACATGGCGAAATCCCATTTCTACTAAAAATACAAAAATTAGCCAGGCATGATGGTGCACCTCTGTAATCCCAGTTACTTGGGAGGCTGAGACACGAGAATCACTTGAAACTGGGAGGCAGAGATTACAGTGAGCTGAGATCGGCCACTGCACTCCAGCCTGGGCAACACAGTGAGATTCTGTTTCAAAAAAAAAAAAAGAATGTTGAACCCTTTTCTCAAAGGGATAGTTGAGACCCAGGATGCTGTGGCTTTTGGCTCAGGCCACTGCTCAGCATGGCAGGACTGTGCTGGGAGTGCAGGAGAGTCCCAGCTGCTCCCGCCACCGTGGGCTGATATTTCACAGCATCTCACAGCATGTGACAAGGAGCTGTGCACTTGAGGGTTAAATACGATTGGTGCCAAGTGCATTTCGTCAGGTTGCTGCAGCCAGTTCTAGGGCAGCTTATGAGTCTTATGTGCAGCTGGTGAAAGTAGATCCATGTCAGCCACCTAAACCTGACACCTCCTTGTCTGGTGTGTCGCCCCAGACCCCACACTGAAAGGACAGCTGAGGCCATGGTCCTAGAAAACCCTGGAACAGGCCAAGCGTGGTGGCTCACACCTGTAATCCCAGCACTTTGGGAGGCCGAGGTGGGTGGATCACAAGGTCAAGAGATCGAGACCATCCTGGCCAACATGGTGAAACCCCATCTCTACTAAAAATACAAAAAATAGCCGGGCATGATGGCACGTGCCTGTGGTCCCAGCTACTCGGGAGGCTGAGGCGGAAGAATCGCTTGAACCCAGGAGGTGGAGGTTGCAGTGAGCCGAGATTGCGGCACTGCACTCCAGCCTGACGACAGAGCAAGACCCCATCTCAAAAAAAAAACAACAACCCTGGAACAGCCAAATGAGGCTGCCCACCTATAGCACCAGCTTTGCAGAGCTCCAGGTGTGGCTCTTTTAGCAAGGGTAAGGAAGAAAGATCTGCCCTTGTGAAAAGTGTTGATGCTGGGGCTAAAATGTTCAGACACTAGTTTTGGAGAAAAAAGAATACTCCAACATAAAGGTGAATATGAAATGCTTTGAGTGTCAAGTGTCCTTGCCAGGTGGATAAGAAGGACTGGGAGGGTCGGCAGCAATGAGGACCCCCTGGCAGTGACAGAGGCTGACCCAGGGCTGGGGGGAATACCCCAGGGGAGACCACAGGCTCTGAAAGGTACCTTGCCATTCCATCTACTTCAATAATAGCATGTCCATGGGATAGATAATAAAATCCTGAGGGGAAAAAATGCTCACTGTGTGGCCAACAACAGAGCGATTTCTGGTTCTGACCAATGTCATTGACTTATCACTCTTGACCCAAATGGAGGTAAGACCCAAGTTTATCCTTTACTCCACCTTGGTCTCCATTTGCAAAAGAGCAAGGCAAATTTCCCCATCACATGAAGTTAGAAAATATCATGCAATCATTGCAGAATGTCACAAATATGAATTATCGTTTCCAATAGAAAGCCTATGCCTTCTTCTGAGCTACAGAGCAGATGTTAGGTCTCAGTCGTCCTGCTGAAGTTCAATGTGGGAAACTTATTGAGGGTCCAGGGTCTTCCCATTCAGTATTTCATTTTATTCTTGAAAAAGAAAATGTGACTGGGCGCAGTGGCTCACTCCTGTAATCCCAGCACTTTGGGAGGCCAAAGCAGGCGGATCATGAGGTCAGGAGTTCGAGACCAGCCTAACCAACGTGGTGAAACCCCGTCTCTACTAGGAATACAAAAATTAGCCGGCTGTGGTGGTGTGTGCCTGTAATCCCAGCTACTCAGGAGGATGAGGCAGGAGAAGCATTTGAAGCCGGGAGGCAGAGGTTGCAGTGAGCTGAGATCGTGCTGCTGTACTCCAGCCACTCCAGCCTGGGTGACAGCAAGACTCCGTCCCCCCCAAAAAAAGGAAAAGGAAAAGCAAATGCTCCTAATTACTGCATTCATTAGATTATTTCTGTGTGGTAAAAAGTCCTAAACAACCCAACTCTGGCTAGCTTAAGCAAATGGGATTTATTAGAAGGACCCTGGGACAGCTCACAGAGCTGAAGGAACTGTCCAACAACCCTGACTGGTGAGGTTTGTGCACCTTTTCCAGGGCAACTCCCTGGCTCCAGCCTCTCATCTCCTGAGTCAAGATTCCTGGAGAGAGAGAACCTGGTTGCCCCAGTTAGGTCTGGTGTCAAAGAAGGAAGGGTTATGCAGTACCAACACTGGGGGCCACCACTATGTATCAACCAACCCTCCCCCTCAACAGAGTAGAATCCCTTTTGCACTGGGCAACCACCCCTATAGCCATAATGTAGATTTATGCTGTGTTGTTATCTGCCCCGTGGCTGCACAGCAACTGTGTGGTGTGTGAAGGTCAAGGAACTCCTCTGGGACAGGCTTGAGGACTGTGTCACTTAGGACAATCCATCTGGCTCAAACCGATGCCCAAGACTGACCAGAACGAGCCCACCCCCTCAGCTTCCGCCGAGAGGCTCAAGCAGCATTATTAACTCCAAGAGAGGAAGGATAGAAGGGATGTGGGCATCCTTGGCTTGAACACATGAATGCCTGTCAGAGGGGCCCTATCCACGGGAGCACTGGGGCATTTTTGTACCATGGGCTGTAAATCTTGGGTTTTACTTGGGATCTTCAGATGAGCATAACTCTAACTTTCTATCGGAGGGGATGTGCCCCAAAAGCATCTATGTCTCCCCAACCCCCGAAAGAAGAAAAAAATGGATGAGAGAAAGTCACCCTGAGCAAAGAGGTTCCCCAGGTTCCCAAACACAAACTGCTGCTCCCGTGCAACTTTCCTCTCACTGTCTAGCAGCAGGCTAGGGGGTCCTGCCCATCCAACTTTTAATTGGGGAAAGTAGAATTTCAGCTGAGAGATTGGGAAAGAGAGAAGGACTGATCAGTTCACTGAATACCAGCCAGGGTCCAGGCTGAGGGGAGAAGGTTCAGTAGCCAGAGAAGAGGCCAAATCCTTAGAGAGGAGGTTAGGCTGGAGCTTGGGAAGTGAGGGGCACTGGGCCTGTCCAGCCTCATGGAAGGCGCAGCTGGGATGCAGCACCTCTGGGGCATGTATGATGCATATGCCCAGACTGGTCTCAATCTCCAGGGCTCCAGTCATCTTCCCTTTGACTCTCAATGTGCTGGGATTACAGGCGTGAACCACCATGCCCAGCTCACAAGATAGAATTTTGAAAAATGTATCTTGAGCCTTCTAGTTCTCTTTCTAGTTATTTAAGATTAAAGAAATCAAATAAGGTAATAGCCATGAAGCCACTACAGGCAGAGATGTCCTTGACTATGGTTAAGGAGGTATTTGTCCCCAGCCAGTGAGATATTCTGAGTGGGGAGAAATGTTCTCTATCGATGACCCAGGGAGGGCCCCTATGGGAGCAGCGGCATGGCCCCACCTGCAACCCAATGCTGAGAGGAAAGGGCCTTGGGGGAAAGGGTGGTTGAAGGCAGGACCGGGGCAGGATGCTCAGGAAGCATGACAGTGGGGCTGCTGCCCTCCCCAGACACCCTCCATCAGGGCAAAAGAGCTGGGCCTCTACTCCCTCAACAGGGAGGACAGCAGCCATGGGCTCATCACCTGCCCCATGAACGCAGGATTAGGGAGATAAGAGTTGCCTTGAAAATCTTTACCCTGACACCCTTGAGCCACTTGAGATGGGCACTTGAAGCCCGGCCTGTGTGCAGTGTGTGTGCAATTCCCTAAAGCGGCCTTGATGCCATGTTCACAGTAGGGACGTGGCACCTACGTCTCCCCTTTCTCTCTGACCGAGCAGATGCAGGAGCTGGAGCGGAGGCTGCTGGAGGCAGAGCAGAGAGCAGAGAACGCCGAGACCCAGGTAACCAGGGGTGGAGGGGGAGATTGGCAGGAATATGCAGGAGAATGACTGTCAGCCCTTCCAGGCCCTTCCCACAGACATACGTGGACAACACACACATCACCAGCAGTCCTGTATTGTACCTGAACAAATGAGTGTGCATGGAGCTTTCTGTGGGAATGGAGTCTTTGGGTAAAGACCAGAGAAGCAAGTGGGTATAGTAGTCCCAATAGTCTAGACTATGCTATGGGAACAAATGAAGTGTGACGTCTCAGTGGTTTATCACGTTTAGCTCTCACTCCTGGTACCTGTCCATTGAGGGTTAGCCAGTGATTCTGCTTCCACAATCACTCAGGAATCCAGGTTGAAGGAGGCTCCCATATCTTATAGCTGGGCCACTTGGAACACCCAGCCTTCTTGGTTGCCATGGCAAGGAAAGAAAGCTGGATGCTTGTGCACTAGATCTTACTTATTTTCAAAATTTATTTTTATTTTATTTTTTATTAGAGATGGGGTCTTGTTATGTTGTCCAGGCTGGTCTCAAACTGCTAGGCTTAAGCTATCCACCCACCTCAGCCTCCCAAAGTGCTGGGATTACAGGTGTGAGCTACTGCGTCTTGCCTAATTTATTTTTCTTTTATTTATTTTTTTATAGAGACAGACTCTCACTATGTTGCCCAGGCTGGTCTCGAACCCCTGGGTTCAAGCAGTCCTTCCACCACAGCCTCCCAAAGTGCTGGGATTACAAGTGTGAGCCACCACACCCAGCCTGCACCAGCTTTTAAATACTTCAGCCCAGCCAGGCACGGTGGTATGTACCCATGGTCCCACCTGCTTAGGAGCCTGAGGCTGGAGGATCCCTTGAGCTCAGGAGTTTGAATCTAGCCTGGGTGACATAGCAAGATCCTGTCTGTTTAAAAAAATTTTTTTTTTTTTTTTTTTGAGACGGAGTTTCGCTCTTGTTACCCAGGCTAGAGTGCAATGGCGCGATCTCGGTTCACTGCAACCTCCGCCTCCTGGGTTCAGGCAATTCTCCTGCCCCAGCCTCCTGAATCGCTGGGATTACAGGCATGCGCCACCATGCCCAGCTATAAAAAATTTTTTTAAATTAATAAATATATACACACATGCATACATACTTGAGTCCAGAAATGATGAACCATTTCCACTTGGAGTCCATTGGTTGGATCAGTGACATGGCCCCATCTAGCTGCAGGAGGTTTGAGAAATACGGGGCAGCACATGGCTGTCCAGTGAGCAGTAAGTATCTCTACCACAGTGGGGATGGGACAGTTGCCCTCCTAGACTGTTTGTACTGCCCAACTCATTCCTACTGGGATCCATGGAGGTCGATGGCAGAAGACACAGCTGCTTTTCCCACTTATTGTCTCCTCTGCCCTCCTGTTACTCATCTCTCCATTACTACTAACTATGACCTAGAGTAGCCAAAATGTGTTTCTAGTTTGTCAGTCCTTCTTTTGCCCAGATAGGAGCTTTATAAATGACAACTGTATTAATTGGCCCAGACTGCCCTGGGTAAGGGCTGTGCCTGGGAGTCACAGCCTGGGGCATCAGAGGGTGTCCCGTCCCACATTACTGGCCACTGTACACCCCCCGTGAGTGATGGGAGACGCTATGAGATCATTGTACTTTTCAGGTGGGTGTCATGGAAGAGAAGGTAAAACTGTCCAATCTGAAGAATGTGGACTCTCCAGGCAGCCTGTACCAGAAATACCAAGAATTGCTGAAAGCCATGCAGGGCAAAGATGAGCTCATCCGCCAGCTGGAGGCTCAGCTGGAGAAGCAGGTAAGGGCTCATGTGCAAGGGAGCACCATGCCCTCTTCAACATCTGTATCACTGGCCCCCAAATTCCTGAGCTGCTTCTCTCAAGCTCTTGAGTGCTAGGAACTCACTCCTGCCTGAGCCTGTTCTTTTTTCTTTTTTTTTTTTAAAGCGGAGTCTCACTCTGTCACCCAGGCTGGAGTGCAGTGCCCCGATCTCAGCTAACTGCAACCCCTACCTCCTGGGTTCAAGCGATTCTTCTGCCTCAGCCTCCCAAGTAGCAGGGACTACATGTGCGCCCCACCATGCTCGGCTAATTTCTGTGTTTTTAGTAGAGACAGGGTTTTACCATATTGGCCAGGCTGGTCTCAAACTCCTGACCTTATGAAACGCCCTTCTCAACCTCACAAAGTGCTGGGATTACAGGCGTGAGCCACCACATCCAGCCAGAGCCTATTCTTTTATGCAGAAGTTTCATTATAGGAAGGCTTTTTCCTCCCACATCTGCTCATGAGAAGCCAGGCAGGGGACAGAGTAGAAAAAGGAGCTTGGAGGCAGACCGATCTGGGTGTGAAGCCCACCTCTAACACCTGCTGCTTCTGACAGTGGGCAAAGTGTTTAAGTCACTGATTCTTATTTTACACATTTATAAGAGAAGGATGAAAACACCTCATAGGGCTGTTGGGAGAAGCAACCTATATGATCTGTGCCTAGCGTCAGGCCCATGGTCAGTGCTTGGTACACAGAGCTTTCCTTTCTCCATCCTGACCTTGTCGTGCCCTGCCAAGATGAGATACTTGATACTTGGCTTTAGTATGTTCAGAGCTGCACAGAGCTGGATGGTCAGTCATGGCCAGCTTGTTGTCCAAAGTTTCTCAATGAACCTGAAGAGGGAGAGACCGGAGTTGCTGCCTCCTCAGAAACCAGGGCCTTCCCTTCTGAGCACATGGGAGCCCATGGGCTGCCACTGCCCAGCATTTCAGCTCCGCTCGGCACCTTTGCTCCTGAGAAGATTCTGGAATGTCCCCCTGCCAGTTCCTGTGTCCTGCCTTCTCCCCTTCACAATCTCACCAACTCCATCCCAGTTCTGTCCCTTTCCTCTGCCACTGGTCTTAACTACTCAGCTTTCCCCTGGTGCCAGAGTGCCATCATTTCCAACTAAACACCCCACAGTCTGAACAGATGACTTTTAATTTCCTACACATGCCTTCTCCATGTAGGAGAAGCTAATCCTGGTGGTGCCCTCCAACCATCGTGGGCAAATTCATGTTCACTCATCAGCATTCACCCAACAGGCCATTAATGGAGGTGCCTTTGTATGCTGTGGGGCACCATGTGTTCCTGAAAAATGATGGAAAGATAGAATTTTGACACATGGAACCTCTGATCAATTCCTCCATTGATTTTAGACATACCTTACCTTCTTTTCTTTATTATTTTTTATTTTTATTTATTTTTTTTTTTTTGAGACGGAGTTTTGCTCTTGTTACCCAGGCTGGAGTGCAATGGCGCAATCTCGGCTCACCGCAACCTCCACCTCCCAGGTTCAGGCAATTCTCCTGCCTCAGCCTCCTGAGTCGCTGGGATTACAGGCACGCGCCACCATGCCCAGCTAATTTTTTGTATTTTTAGTAGAGACGGGGTTTCACCATGTTGACCGGGATGGTCTCGATCTCCTGACCTCGTGATCCACCCGCCTCAGCCTCCCAAAGTGCTGGGATTACAGGCTTGAGCCACCGCGCCCGGCCCCCTTACCTTCTTTTCTAAATGGCTCATAGTTAGAAGTGGCAGTGTCCTGGAGGATGGTGGACAAAATGACTCTTGCTAAAGCTCCTTAGGTCAGAAAAACAGTCATTTTATAACTGGAATCAATAGGTCAAGATCATAAAAGAAAGAACAATGTTCTGTGAGTCAAAAGACCTGGTTTTGGTCCCAGCTGTGCCATGAATGGACAGAGACAAGCCATTTCTCACTGTAGGGCCTTAGCGAGTGACGGCTTGTCTCTGTCCATTCCACGGGAGTACAAACACAATATCCAACCAGGTAAGGGGTCAGCCAGCATTTTCTGTAAAGGTCCAGGTAATAACTACCTTAGGCCTTGTGGGCCACAGGTCTCTGTGGCAACTGGTCAAAGCTGCTGTTTTAACCTGGAAGCAGCCATGGATAATGCATAAATGAATGGGCATGGCTGTATTACAATGCAGCTTTATTTACAAAAACAGGTTTGGGTGGGGGCAAGCAGGTAGAGGACGGGATTTGGCCTGAAGGCCATTGTTTGCCACACCTTGAACTAGATAACCTTTAAGGTCCTTCCAGCTCTAAAATACTGAGAGTCCGACATCACATTCCCATCTCATTTTCATAGTTTCTTTGTGTGGAGCTTATGTGCATCATCTGATAAGTATTAGGCAGGTTTTTCCTATCAGACTTGTTGCTGGTCTCCAGACAAGTCGGTATATACCCGTTGCCTGCGTGCTTTTTGGATCCTGGAACTGGTTCTCACTGTAGAACCAGTTGATACCCACACCTAGCGCTGTGGACTTTCTTTCACACTATCCTCAGAATGGCCCAGCAAGGGGGAGTATCAGGTGGTAATGCAGGCCCCGAGGGGTTAGGCTTCCTGCCCAGTCTTACAGCAAAGGGGCCTCACATGTAGAATCAAAGCCTATATTTCATTCTATCTTAGGCTGTTCTTCTTTTTCTTTATTTTATTTATTTATTTATTTTTGAGATGGGAATCTCACTCTTTCGCCCAGGCCGGAGTGTAGGGGCGCGATCTTGGCTCATTGCAGACTCCACCCCCCAGGTTCAAGTGATTCTCCTGCCTCAGCTTCTGGAGTAGCTGGGATTACAGGTGCCCACCACCACATCTGGCTAATTTTTATATTTTTAGTAGAGACGGGGTTTTTCCTTCTTGGCCAGGCTGGTACTGAACTCTTGACCTCAGGTGATGCACCCGCCTTGGCCTCTCAAAATGCTAGGATTACAGGTGTGAGCCACCATGACCAGCCACATTTTTCTTTTCTTTTCTTTCCTTTTTTCTTTTGGAGACTGAATCTTACTCTGTCACCCAGGCTGGAGTGCAGTGGTGCAGTCTTGGCTCACTGCAACCTCTGCCACCCAGGTTCAAGCGATTCTCCTGCCACAACCTCTCAAGTAGCTGGGATTACAGGCACCTGCTACCATGACTGGCTAAGTTTTGTAGAGACAGGGTTTTGTCCATGTTGGCCAGGCTGGTCTCAAACTCCCGACCTCAGGTGATCTGCCTGCCTCAGACTTCCAAAGTGCTGGGATTACAGGCATTAGCCACCACGCCAGGCCAGGCTTCTCTTTAGATGCAAACCTCCTTTTCAATCATCTCCTCTTTTGACTATTTTGAGGGAAATACCTCAGTTATCTGCAATTTCACCTTATTTTTTGTTTTTTAACTATAAAGGTAATACCTACATGCTTATAGTAAAAAAATACAAAATGGCCAGAGGAGTATAAAATGACAAGTCACCTTTCTCTCCATCCCCAATCCTTGATTTCCACTCCTCACTATTAACGTTGCTTGCATATGGAAGCACAGCGTTCTCCTTCCATATCAGGGATGTGCCATGTTTATTCAGCCAACCCCTTAGTGGTAAACACTTAGAGTATTTCCGGTTTTGAGTTTTTAAATTTTATGTTGCCTTATCAAATAATATTGCCACAGACGATTTCTGCTCCCTTGCTTTGTGAGGTCAGTGGCATGCACACCTGATGTTTCTTCTTGGGGCCGCCCACCTCCAGTCAATCACTCTGCTGGTGACTGTTGGGATTAACCAAAGGCCCTTTCTTTCTTGCAGAAGCAGATGAGAGCAGAGGAAGCAAAAACTGTTCAAGAAAAAGCTGCAAAGATCAAGGAATGGGTGACACTCAAGTTAGCAGAGGTGGGTTGGAAAATCATCTTGGGGGCCTGCCCTGACCCCTGGAGTTTCCTGTCCCCTTCTTTCTGGCGTGCCTCGGCTGACCTTCATTCTGTCCAGCACGTGTACCTTATTCAGCTTCCACGCCGAGATGCCGTGGTTCACTTCCCCTTTCCTTTTGTCTTGGTTGGGTCTCCCTGGTGTTCCTGACTAACTTGGTGCTGGGTTTAAGTTTGGAGGAAGGAATGTGTCTCACTTCTGAAAAGCCCCCTCCGTTTCTTTCTAGGAAGCCCACACAGGCCATTGTCCACTCTCTCCACTTTCTCATTTATTTACTTTGAGACCAGCCTGGCCAATATTGCAAAACCCTGTCTCTAAAAAAAAAATACAAAAATTAGCCAAGCATAGTGGTGTGTACCTGTAGTCCCAGCTCCTTGGGAGGCTGAGGTGGGAGGGTAGCTTGAGCCCAGGAGGCAGAGGTTGCAGTGAGCCAGTATTGCATCACTGCACTCCAGCTTGGGTGATAGAGCCAGACGTTTTCTGAAAAAAAGAAAAGAAAAGAACATGCAGCAGCCAGGTGCAGTGGCACATACCTGTAATCCCAGCACCGTGGGAGGCTGAGGTGGGCAGATTGTTTGAGTCCAGGAGTTTGAGACCAGCCTGGGCAACATAGCAACAGCTCATCTCTACAAAAAATAAACAAAATTAGCTGGACCTGGTGGTGTGCATCCATAGTCCCAGCTACTCAGAAGGCTGAGGTGGGGGAATTGCTTGGGCCTGGGAGGTCAAGGCTGCAGTGAGCCAAGATTGTTCCACTGTACTTTAGTCTGGGCAACAGAGAGAGGCCCTGACTCAAAAAAAATAGAGAATTGAAAAATATGTCTGAACTATAGGCTAGGTGTCCTAAATCTTCACTTTTCTTTTTTTTTTTGCTCAGCTTGAGATGGAGAATCAGCATCTGAAAAGCTGTAATCAGTGCCTGGTGGAGCAGGTGGGAGCCCTTCAAGATGCGCTAGAAGGTAGGCAGGCCCGGGTGTGCAGGTGTGCGGTAGATGTGTGGTGGGGATGGGGCTGAGGTGAGGGAGCTCTCAATGTGACTGTTTTTACCCCAACCACAGCTATTCAGATAGCTCCTTCACGGAAGCTGCTGGTGCCCCCCCACGGAGCTGCAGAGCAGGATTCTGTCCCTTCAGAGCCAGGCATCCAGCCTGTGGGCCAGGACAGTGGCTCCCAGGCCCAGGGTCTGAAGGCAGCTGTGCTTGCACCTTCCCCAGGTGCCCTGCAGAGCAAGGACTCTGTTTCTGAAGCAGCAAGCCCCTTGGAGGATTCTATTTCCAGCACGGTCCATTCTGGGGAAGTAATAGAGGCCAAGCCCCTTCAACCTCATCTGGGAAGAGAGGGCTGTCCCCGCCAGCCATGCATGAAGCTTCGAACCTTCAGATGTGGTTCAGCTTCCTGGGGTGAGCGTCTGGTTACCGCTCAGAGAGGGACGCTCCCTGGTACAAGGACTTCTGCCAAAGAAGGTGGCCCTGGCAGCAGTCTGACCCTACCAATAGTGCGGGCTCCTAACACCCCAAGGGACAGTATCCAGTTGGCCAAAAGGCACCACAGCCAGCCCCAGGTGGGCCATGGACACTTTGACCACGTACTGAGCATTGAGATTGGGACCTTCTCAGCACTCCACCCCTCTGGCCTTCCTGAGCTGGAGGCCCGAGCTGGGTACCGGGATGAACCAGAGAAGATGGAGATGGAGGAGCCACCCCCAGCAGGGAAGAAGGAGGAAAGAGAGAGCCCAAAGGCCCTTGGAGCTGAGCCGGAGGAAGTGGAGCCGGGTAGCAAGCCACCTACACCCCCACTGCACCAGTTACCACCCTGGGTAAGAGGCGACCTCCAGGCTAGGCAGAGGAGCAGAGCTAATGAACACTGCTGGCTGAGCACAGCCATGCACTGAGTGGGAGAGGAGGCTGCTGGCATCCTCATAGAGGCCCTGGCAGGCGGGTACCACAGAGCCTGTGCAGAACACCCAACCACTGAGGGTCAGAGCTAGAGTTCAGAATGATGTGAATGGCGCTTGGCTGTCATTTCCTGAGTGCTCACTGTGCGCCGGACATCAAGCTGGGTGCCTTGCACACCTTTTCTCATTTAATCTTTGTGAGTCTTTACGGTGGTCTGGTATGATGGTCAAGAACATAAGCCCCAGAAGCAAACCACTAGGGTTGAACTGTTAACCGTGTGACTTTGGCCATTTTACTGAACCTCTGTGCCTCAGCTTCCCTAACTGTAAAATGGGGATAATAGTACCTACTTTATAGGGTTGTTATGAAAGTACTTGCAGTAGTGGTTCACAGTGGGTGGTAGGTAAATGTTGGCTATTTTTCTTTTTGGGACGGAGTTTCGTTATTGTTGCCAAAGCTGGAGTACAATGGCGTGATCTCAGCTAACTGCAACCTCCATCACCTGGGTTCAAGCAATTCTCCTGCCTTAGCCTCCCCAGTAGCTGGGATTACAGGCATGTGCCACCATGCCCGGCTAATTTTGTATTTTTAGTAGAGATGGGTTTCATCATGTTGGTCAGGTTGCTCTGACTCCTGAACACAGATGATCCACCCACCCCAGCCTCCCAAAGTGCTGGGGTTGCAGGCATGAACCACCGCACCTGATTTTTTTTTCTTTTTTTTTTTTTTTTTTTTTTTTTTTTTGAGACAGAGTCTTGCTCTGTAACCCAGGCTGGAGTGCGGTAGCATGGTCTCGGCTCACTGCAACCTCCGCCTCCCAGGTTCAAGTGATTCTCCCATCTCAGCCTCCTGAGTAGCTGGAATTACAGGTGTTTGCCACCATACCCAGCTAATTTTTATATTTTTAGTAGAGACGAGGTTTCATCATGTTGTCCAGGCCAGTTTCAAACTCCTGACCTCAAGTGATTCGTCTGCCTCAGCCTCCCAAAGTGCTTGGATTACAGGCAACTTACTTGTAAATAAAACGTCTTGACATCTGTCTGGTAGAAATACTTCAGAAGCAATGATCTGGTGGCCAGGGGTAGGGACACAGATGAAGCATCACTGGCCACGCATCATTAATCTTTGCAGAGCTGGGTGATGGGCACATGAGGTCATTCTTTTTTTAATTGGCACAGCGTCTTACATCATCACCCAGGCTGAAGTGCAGTGGCGCAGTCTTGGCTCACTGCAACTTCCGCCTCCTGGGCTCAAGCAATCCTCCTACTTCAGCCTTCCAAGTAGCTGGGACTGCAGGGATGTGCCACCATGCCTGGCTAATTGTTGTATTTTTAGTAGAGACAGAGTTTCACTATGTTGGCCAGGTTGAGTTTTTTTTCTTTTCTGTTTGTTTTTGAGACAAAGTCTTGCTCTGTTGCCCAGGCTGAAGTGCAATGGTGCGATCATGGCTCACTGCAGCCTCAACTTCCTGGGCTCAAGAAATCCTCCCACCTCAGCCTCCTCAGTAGCTGGGACTACAGGCGTGTACCACCATACCAAGCTATTTTTAAATATTTTGTGGAGATGAGATCTAACTATGTTGCCCTGGCTGGTCTTGAACTCCTAGGCTCAAGTGGTCCTCCCACTTTGATCTCCCAAAATGCTAGGATTACAGGTATGAGTCACTGTGTCCTGCCCTGTGACTGACATTTTCCATGATAAAAAGTTAAAATAAAAATGGGACAAGCTATAAAGATGACATTTCACAGGTCACTAGTGAGAATGACATGTGCGTATCAGGGCCTTCACATACAGCCTGTGGGAAGGCTCCTTTCCCTGCAAGGAGTATGGTGCAGTTTCTCCCTTTCACAGGTCAGGAAACTGCTGTTCCCCACAGGCTTAGGTACTCACCCAAGGTCATGTAGTAGTTGGTGAGGGAGCCAGGCTGTATTTATTTATTTACTTGATAGACAGGGTCTTGCTCTGTCACTCAGGCTGGTATGCAGTGGCACAGTCACAGCCCACTGCAGCCTTCAACTCCTGGACTCAAGGGATCTTCCCACCTCAGCCTCCTGAGTAGCTGGGACTACAGGTGCATGCCACCATGCCTGGCTAATTTTTTAAATTTTTTGTAGAGACGCGGTATCCCTATGTTTCCCAGGCTGGTCTCAAACTCCTAACCTGAAGTGATTCTCCTTCCTAAGCCATGAGAGCCACCTCACCTGGCCTGAGAGCCAGTCTTTAAATATAGGTCCAGCGGCTTTGAAGCTTTAAATGTAGGTCCAGCTGTACTGCCTCTTAAGGGTCATTGCCAGAGCAAATGTCAGTCTTTTATTTATGGGCAGACATCCCCACACATACACAGATTCTGCTGGGTTGTGGAGCAGTACCATGGGGGACATCTAAGCATTGGCTCCTGGCAGCAGGGGGAATGAGGTCACTTGGGACAGGGGGTGGTATCAGGATGCACTCACCCCACACCACTGCTCGGGAGACCCGTATTTTCAGCATTACCTCCTAGGGCCTCCTTCTGAAATGCTGGTTTGAATCTGGGCACGGTGGCTTATGCCTATAATCCCAGCACTTTGGGAGGCAGAGGCAGGCAGATCACTTGAGGTCAGGATGTTGAGACCAGCCTAGCCAACATGGTGAAACTCTGTCTCTACTATAAATACAAAAATTAGCTGGCCACGTTGGCATGCACCTATAGTCCCAGTTGCTCGGGAGGCTGAGGCAGGAGAATTGCTTGAACCTGGGAGGCGGAGGTTGCAGTAAGCTGAGATTGCGCCACTGCCCTCCAGCCTGGGTGACAGAGGAGAGGGAAATGTTGTCTCAAAAACAAAACAAAACAAAGAAATGCTGGTTTGGGAGGTGCACAGCCCTATACTTTTGGGCTATATCCTTAGCAGTGACTGTTGACCAGCTTCTGGTTGTTAAAAGGGCACCTGTAAGACTGGAGACTCAGTTGAGCCAAGAGTGGGGCGCAGCAGGAAGACTAGGAGATGGAAAAGCGCAGGTCCCCTGGGCTCCCGGCCCTCTTCTTGCTCTGGAGTCTGAACGCAGAGGTTGGGAGTAGGGAGTGGTCGGACAAGGAATGTGCAGCTGCTCACCTGAGAGAAGTGTTCCTCACTTTGCCATTTTGCCAAAATACAGCTATTCACCATGATAGCTTAAGAGTGGGTCTTGGGCCAGGTGCAGTGGCTCACGCCTATAATCTCAGCACTTTGGTAGACAGAAGCAGGAAGATCTCTTGAGCCCAGAAGTTCAAGACCAACCTGGGCAACATGGCAAAGCCCTGTCTCTACCAAAAAAGATAAAAAATTAGCTGAGCATGGTGGCACATGTCTGTAGTCCCAGCTACTCAAGAGGCTGAAGTGGAAGGAAGGTGTGAGCCCAGGGAGATGAAGGTTGCCGTGAGTCAAGATCTTGCCACTGCACTCCAGCCTGGGCGACAGAGCCAGACCCTGTCTTGAAAAAGAAAAAAAAAAGAAAAGAGTGGGTTTTGTGCTCTATCTGAACAGGTTAAGTGTGTGTGCAAGAGAGGGGGTGGCGGAGGAAAGGAGGAATGAGGAGACGAGGAGCTATTCTCTCCTCTTATTCTGTATAGAAAATGCATCAAATGACATTCTCACCATGAGTATCAGCTGATCTCTGGCAATGACGGTATTAAGGGGCAACATCAGGTCTTCCCACAGACCCTCCCTGCTCCCAGCTAGGTCCTGAGGACCAAAGAATCAGCCAAAGGAATGTAAGGAGATTTCGTCCTGTTTACAGTCCCCTTTGTAACTTGCTTCTGGGGAAAAACAAGACACCATGCTAGCTCCTTCCCAGGCCCCTGAGGCATGATCACTCCTGTCCCAGGGAAAGCTTAGGAAATCACAGTGGCCAAGACAGCCCAGCCTCTCTCTCTCCCAGGCAGAAGAATGGGGCAGTAACCATCTGGGGGGAAAACAAAGAGTGGAAATTCAGAGAAGGACATTTCTCAATCTGAGGGCATAAGAAATACTTCTGTACCTTAGAGTTTGGAAAGCCCTTTTTCCGGTTAATCCTTAAAACAACCTTGTGAGTTAGGCATTAGATAACCTTTTGTCAAACAGTCCTAGGTTTTGTTTAACCTAAATCCTTCAAGCTTCAGTTTCATTTCCTCTGCAAAGTTAGAGGACTATCTGTCCTTGGTTAAAATTCCATGACCGCTGTGGGCAGAAATAATCCTTTCTATGCCTGATTTTACTTGGCCCCAGTGTATCTGCCCTACACGAGCACAGAAACTCACTGCCCTGCTGCAGGGGCCCTCGGCCTCCTTTCCCATTGCCCCTCTGTCTCTCGCCTTGCTGCCCCTCCAGTTATCTCAGTGTCTCATGGCTGCACTCATCGGCTCTGCTCTCTCTCCTCCCAGTTGCCCCAGGGCTGCTGCTCCTCTCTGGGAAGACACCCCAGTAGGCACCCACCTCCCTTCCAACACCATCTCCTAGCCCATCTGACCCCCCCAGGTGACAGCATATCTAGTTGCCTCCCTAAGCCAGCCGGACAATATTCCAAAGGCTGGCCGACTAGTCACCTTTGTTTTCCTTTAGGCTCAATGGAACAAACAGATACAGAAGGCACAGGGAGCCATGTGGGTTGTTTATGAACAAACAGAGTCTTAGGAAAGGCTCCTTTGAAGTAGGAGCCTGCGGCCGATGGCCTACTTCAGACCCAGGGGCCCCAGGCATTCTCCCATATAAGTGTCTTCCAGATGGGGGTGCTGGAGTCCTGTTGGGCTAAATAGGTTTTGTAGATTGGCCCTAAAGCCTAGCCATGATATGACATTCATTATTCCTATAGGGAAAAAAATGTGCCCTAACTTCCCACATGTTTTCATTATAACACTATTCACAATAGCAAAGACATGGAACCAACCCAAATACCCATAAATGGTAGACTGTATAATGTGGTACATATACACCATGGAATACTATGCAGCCATAAACATAAATGAGGCCTCGTCCTTTGCAGGGACACAAATGAAACTGGAAGCCATTATCCTTGGCAAACTAACATAGGAACAGAAAAACACACTGCATGTTCTCACTTATAAGTGGGAGCTGGACAATGAGAACACATGGACGCAGGGAGGGGAACAACACTTAGTGGGGTCTATCAGGAGAGGGTGGTGGGGGGAGAGTATTAGGGAAAAGAGCTAATGCATGCTGGGATTAATACCTAGGTTGATGGATCATTAGGTGCAGGAAACCACCATGACACACATTTACCTGTGTAGAAACCTGCACATCTTGCATATGTACCCTGGAACTTAAAAAACAAATAATAAAATATATATATATTTTTTGAGATGGAGTGCTCTTGTTGCCCAGGCTGGAGTGCAGTGGTGCAATCTCAGCTCACTGCAACCTCTGCCTCCTAGGTTCAAGCCATTCCCCTGCCTCAGCCTCCCAAGTAGCTGGGATTACAGGCATGCACCACCAAGCCTGGCTAATTTTGTATTTTTAGTAGAGACAGGGTTTCTCCGTGTTGGTCAGGCTGGTCTCGAACTCCTGACCTCAGGTGATCTACCCGCCTTGGCCTCCCAAAGTACTGGGATTACAGCTGTGAGCCACCGTGCCCGGCCTATAAAATAATTTTTTAAAAAAAGAAATGATAGAGAATTAAAAAAATATATGCCTCAAGTTCCAAACAACTGGCTTACAAAAGAGCCCTTGTCATGTGGCCCCAGTGGCTTCCTCATTATCAACACCCCCAAAATCTGGGGGTGAGATCCTGAGACCCAAGGATCTCTAAAATGGGCAGGATTCAGAGCAACAGGTTACTGACCCATCTCCTCTTGAACCTCCTTTGCCCCAAAGATGAAGGGTGGAGGCAAGAGAGGGACCTGTCGGGCACTGATTATATTCCAGGTGTTAAATGTAATACTTACATTAAGTATTTCACTGGATTCTCACAGCAGCCTGAAAGGTAAGTATTATTACAACTCCATTCTAGAACAGAGGACAATGAGGCTCAGAAATGAAGTAACTTAGCCAAGATTTGTTAGCCAGTCACTGACCCCCGCAGGTTTGCCCACCCCCAAAGCTATGGTTTCTCCTGCACATGCCTGGAGAGGGTGGGGTGGGCATCATGCTGGGCCCTGACCCTCCTGGGACCTCTTGTTTCAGGAGAGCCGGATCTATGCTGTGGCCACATCAGGCATGCGGCTCTCAGACGCGTCTCCCAGAAGTAATACTGCCTGCTGCGGTGAGTCCCAAGTGAGGCTTGGAGGCAACAAACATCCAAGGTAGGCAGGGTGGGCAAGCGAGGAGGAGAAGACTCCAAGCAACACCCAGGGCCAGGGTTGCCTGCCACCCTGTTCCCCTCCCCAGCAGGTGAAGTTAAGGTGAAATCACATCAAGGCCCACCTAGGAGGGAAAGGGAAGTCGTACAGGTTCAGCTCATCACAGGGAAGTAGCCATCACAGAGCTGGAAGGGACCTGAGACAGGGGCCTCCAGCCCAGCCTCCCACCTGCACAGACCCTTCTGCAGTGCCAGGGCCATGGGTGAGAGGAGCCCCAAGTGTCCTGATTTGCATGAACCCCACTCACTGGCTCCTCACTAGCCAGCCACCAAAACTCCACAACGAGGGCTGGGGGGCGGTCCCATAGCCACATGATTTGTAACTCACATCTGCAATAGTGGGACACTGTGCAAGCCTCATAGAGGAGAAAACGGTTAAAGGGTAAGACTTTTGGATTCTGTTGTAACGGACCCTTTACCACATGGAGATCATGGTCCCCAAAGGGAGTCAAGGCCAGACGATGAACAAGGACTTGGCCCCTCTCTTGAGATCTGTCACCAGCCTGCTCCTTGGAGGAATGCCAATTGCCCAGTTCTCTGCTTTCCCCACACCCCTTCCTGGGTTATGCCCTTGAGTAATCTCATTCCTCTTTTCCCTGCTCAGCTTCAAGCCCTCCTGCCCTTGCTTCCCCTGGGTCTTTCTCTGGCCTGGTCTACAAGAATGTCACTGTGCCTGTCTACACAGCTCTGAAGGGGGTAAGAAACTGCTGCACAAAGAGGGGGTGTCTCATCAGGAAAGGCCCCTGGCCTCAGCATCCAATGACTGGGGCGGGCGGAGCTATAGGACCAGGCTTCTGCACATGGTGACCCTGGCCACGTAGGTCAGCCTGCCGTGTGTCATTTTGCTTTATTGTTTATTAGGTTGTTATAAAAATTCTACATTTACAACAATTTGAATCAGTACAAATGTGGGCAAAGTAAGAAGCCTAAGCCTATGCCCGCTCTGCATCTTCTCCCCCTCTTTTCTCATGTCTGCCCCACTCCCCAGGTCCCAGAGGGCAGTGGGGCTCCTTCTAGAATTATTTAGGTATGTTCCAACTTATATTCCCATAAGATCACTACATTTTTTAAACAAAAATCAGATATTGCAACATTTACATAGACATCTTTGTCTTTGTTATTGGTTTTTGAATCATCATAGTAATACTTGATAAAACTTTTTATAGAATAATAAAAAAACAAAAGTGACATTTCCTCTCACATGGCTTTTCCCTAATTCCTAAGCCCAGAGGAAGCTATCATGAATGTTTTAGTGTTTATTCACTAAGGCCCTCTGATGCATTTATAAATATGCATGCACGCTCTCACTCTCTCATGTGTGCACACAAAAGGCAGTCATATACATGTTATTCTATGCCTTGCTTGTTCACCTAACCACATGTCAGGTCATCCTATCGTCCTTCCCTACCTCCTCCTCTTTATTTTTTTTATTTTTATTTTTGGAGACAGAGTCTAGCTCTGTTGCTGGCTGGAGTGCAGTGGTGTCATCTCAGCTCACTGCAACCTCTGCCTCCTGGGTTCAAGCCATTCTCCTGCCCCAGCCTCCCGAGTAGCTGGGACTACAGGCGCACGCCACCACGCCCAGCTAATTTTTGTATTTTTAGTAGAGATGGTGTTTCACCATGTTAGCCAGGATGGTCTTGATCTCTTGACCTCATGATCTGCCCTCCTCAGCCTGCGATTACAGGCGTGAGCCACAGTGCCTGGTCCCTACCTCCTCCTTCTATGAGTGTCTAGTCCCCTTGGTATCAAAGCACCATTACTATTAATATGTTAAGCTTTCCTCCAATGACTCTAAAATAAATGTTGCCATGAACATCACTGTGCAAATACATCTTTGCAAAGTTATATATACATATTTCTGTAGGGCAGAGTTCTAGAAGTGGAATTTCTGGGCAAATTATATGCATGTTTTAATTTTTGACAAGTACTGCCAAATTACCTTCTAAAAATGCCTTACACACTAGAGTTTTCTTTCCCCCATCTTCTCCCCACATTCTCACCAACACTGAGATAATCAGTCACTTTAAATGTCTGCCAATTGAGATGCAATCCTCTATTGTTGTGATGTCCCCACACTTTTTTTTTTTTTTTTTTTTTTTTGTTGGAGTTTCGCTCTTGTTACCCAGGCTGGAGTGCAATGGCACCATTTTGGCTCACCGCAACCTCTGCCTCCTGGATTCAGGCAATTCTCCTGCCTCAACCTCCTGAGTAGCTGGGATTACAGGCACGCACCACCATGCCCAGCTAATTTTTAGTATTTTTAGTAGAGACGGGGTTTCACCATGTTGACCAGGATGGTCTCGATCTCTTGACCTCGTGATCCACCCGCCTCGGCCTCCCAAAGTGCTGACCCCACACATTTTTTAAAGCTCGTGTGGCACACTTGGTCTGTGGTGTAGCTCTCTGGCCCCCTAGTGGCAAGGAGTGAGAGTCACAGTGGGCGGGCATTCAGTTGGGATGGGCAGCTACTTTGGGGGCCATAGAAGACAGTGTGCAGGAAGGGAGGCCTGAGAAGCATGGAGGTCGTCACAGCAGTGAGGCCAGGAGGGACCCTACTCTGGACAGTTGTCTGTTCAGAGTCCCGGCTGGAGGTTGGTCACACCATGGGTACTTGGAGCAGGAGTGCAAGCTGCAGGGTGGGAGAAGGCTGTTTGCAGCCTGAACTGCAGTGAGCGGGGGTGGCCTGTCTTGCAGAGAGCCACGCAGATCAGCAACGTGCCCTTTATGGATGAATCCTCTGGGTCCGACGATGACTGCAGCTCTCAGGCAAGTTTTCGAATCTCGGTCCCCGGCTCCGAGTCCAGGAAGACCAGCGGACTAGGCAGCCCCCGGGCCTTCAAGAGAGGTACAGAGAAGGGGAGCAAGGGCAGGGTGTAGCAGCAAGGAGTCCCCCACCCTTCCCACGGGCACTTGAACACGGGAATCCCCACTTGATCTGGGCTTGTGACCCCCAGCATCTCCACCCCCAGCCCCAGAGACTGCGTCCCTGGTGGGTGGTTGGTCAAGGCTCAACAGCTCCTGGGCTGCGAGTCAGAGAGGTATGGGACCCTGGCCTTGACTCCTCCTCCTGTGGCAAGGCGTCTCCATGTCTTCACTGAGCTCCGAGGGTGACTACGCCATCCCCCCGGACGCCTTCTCACTGGACGGTGACTACTCAGAGCCTGAGCACAAGCTGCAGCGCACCTCATCCTACTCCACCGACGGGCTGGGCCTAGGCGGGGTAAGCCAGGAGACGGGCCTGGGGCTGGGTGGGAGCAGAATGTCAGCAGAGGCTGCTGGGGCCCTCAGCACAAGACACAGGCAGCAGCTGCATGAGGTGAGGGGTCCCTAGGATGGGGGGATGGAGGGCGTGGGCTGGGGAGTGTACAGTTATGGAGTCAGACACACACAGACCCCATGAGGAAGGAAGGAGAAAGCCCAGAGAGCTCCTGGAATGCCAGCAATGGCCAGTTACTGATAGCCCACTATGGCCCACCAGGCCCCCTGAGTTTTCCATATGTGACGCTTTTTCAGCTAGAATGCTAACACAAGCTAAGGTGCATTGAACTCAGAGCGTGCCAGGCACTGGCTCAGTTTTCAGGCATTGTCTCATTTGTCCTCACAATCCTCTTGGGGTTATTACCCCATTTTATGGATAAGAAGCCTGAGGCTCCAAGCTGTGCCACTACATGCCTGGGCTAGCATTCAATCCAGATGTAATTCCCTATCGTTTGCCCTGCACCTCTCTGCTGCCCCATCATCTCCCTGGCTTCATGACCCTCCAGTCCTGCGTGGCTGATGTGCCCATGGTTGCCCAGACCTGCCTTGCCCTGTCTCCCCTCTGTGCTGCCTGGAATGGTCTCCCTTCTCCCAGTCTTTGAGGGAGAGGCTGACCTGTCTTCCAAGACCAGTTTCATGGCCGGCTCTTTCCTGAGGGTCTCCCTGGCCAGGCTTTCCCTCTAGCAGCCCCTGTTCTGCTAGCTGCTTCTCCCAGCTAGCATGGCAGCCCTTTCTTGGCAGGACCACCCATGTTTTATTTAGTCTTCTCTGAACTGTAGCAGGGCATGGTACCCTGAAAATACAGAGTCGGTACTCAATAATTTTGTATTTAATTGATGACAGAGCAGTAAGGCAGCTGGACCACTTGGACCTGTGTGATGTGTGGGAGCCCTGAGTGATTTCCCTTTTCTTCCTCTTCCCCCCATGCCTTTCCACCCTTCAGGAGTCACTGGAGAAGTCAGGCTACCTGCTGAAAATGGGGAGCCGGATGAAGACGTGGAAGAGGCGCTGGTTTGTCCTGAGACAGGGACACATTATGTACTACAAGTCGCCGGTGAGAGCCTCCCCGCCCAGCACTGCAGTCAAAAGGACTCTGTGTCGGATCCTGGACTGTGTCAGATGGGATGGAGGAGGGGAAGTGTGGCCCAAGGCCAGAGGGCAAAGGTCTGGCAGGTGGGGAGAGGCAACTGCACTGAGGCTGTGAGCCATACCTGGGGACCTCAGCCTGGCCGTGAGTTCTCAGAATGAAATAGGGCATGGAGACTGTGGAAGGCAGTTCTAGGCCAGCTGGCTGGGCAACTCCTTCTTCATCTATAAAGAGCTGTTCCCAGTCTGCCTTCATATCATCTGGTTGTTCTAACACACCATTGTTCTAATTGCTTCCTCTACCTCCTTCTACCACTGTTTGGAATTAAGAAGCCTTGGTTATTGGGAACCAGTTTGATAGGACCCCCCCTGCAGAACCAATTTTGATGTTTTTTTTGAGGCAGAGTCTCAGCTTTGTCACCCAGGCTGGAGTGCAGTGGTGTGATCATGGCTCACTGTAGCATCAGCCTCCTAGGCTCAAGTAGTCCTCCCATCTCAGCCTCCTGAGTAACTGGGACTACAGGCCTGTACCACGCCTGGCTAATTTTTAAGATTTTTTATAGAGCTGTGGTCTCACTGTATTACCCAGGCTGGTCTTGAACTCCTGGGCTCAAGTGATCCTTCTGTCTAGGCCTCCCAAAGTGCTGGGATTACAGGTAAAAGTCACTGTGGCCAGCCTAATTTTAATGTTTCAGAGACAGCAAAAGGCCTCATGCAACTCCAGCTGGTTGGTAGTGGCTGTCTTGAACATCATGTGAAGGACTTTGGGCCTGTATTGCTCAGTGAGAAAGTATGCTGTGATTGACTGGAAGGTCTGCAATAGCACTGGAAAGGATAAGAATGGTGCTATATGTGCCACTTATTTGCCATAGTTGGTCTGACCCAGTTTTAAAGGCTCATTCTACCATTTTCGAGGCTTGGATTAGAAGGACTCATGTTTCTGATTAAGGCTCCATTTAACTATAGCCAGAATCTAGAATAAGTTACCCATCATAACACAGCTGGAATATTGGGAATCATGTTCCCTTTGCCTATGGCCTGGAGTAAGATCTGAGGGTAAATGAGAGGCTCCACATTCAACTGCTCTCCTCCCTATTCCTTTACAGAGTGATGTCATCCGGAAACCTCAAGGCCAAGTGGATCTGAACTCCCACTGCCAAATTGTTCGAGGGGAGGGTTCACAGACGTTTCAGGTGAGCACACTCCTAGCAGCCAGTATTTTAGATAGAAGAGGTGCTGGGTTTGGATATGTCTATGAGTGAGACAGAGATGGGGCCAAATGAGCATGAGTGAAAGACTTCAGATCAACATTTAGATGTGATCCTAGCTTGTAAGTACAAGAAAGGCAGGTAAGACAAAACGTGAGAGATGGAGTGAGGGAAGGAGAGACAGGGAGAAAAGGCTGAGGAGGAAAAGAAGGGAGGGAGCACTAGGGCAGGCAGAAGGCCAGCCCCTTGGGTTCAGGGACAGGTGCCACTCGGAGCCAGGTCCTGGTGACTCCGTTCTCCTGGCGTGCTGCCCTGCCCCGACATCTTGGCCTCCACAGCTCATCTCTGAGAAGAAAACCTACTACCTGACAGCTGATTCACCCAGCCTGCTGGAGGAGTGGGTCCGAGTACTCCAGAGCCTTCTGAAGGTGCAGCCCACCGGGCCTCCAGCCCTGCCACAGGGCGGCACCAAGCCCACCGTCAAGGGCTGGCTGACCAAGGTACAGGGTGCGGTAATAGGGGAGGAATGTGCGCCTCCTGTGAGTCAGGGGAGCCAGGAGTGGGGTGCCAAGGGTGGTGGCTTCCCTCCTTATACGGGGCTCCTTTCTGTGGGAGCTTCCTCACAGTGACTGCCTGGCCAGCCCTCAAACGTGGCCAGGCCACATGAGGTGATGGCGAGTGATTCCCTGGAAATAAATCATGGTTGTTGGAACAACTGTTCTCAAGAAAGAGAAGAGAAAGGAGCACCTTGCCTCCATTTTGAGGTCATTAGGGGTTGTCCCCCGCCCCCCGCCACCTTGTACCCGCCCCAGTGTTAATAGCGGGAAGAAGAGACCTGGGTGAGGTACGTATGGCCACTCAGAGGCTTAAAGAACCCCAGGCCTGCCCCAAAGACATTTTTGTGAGGGCTTTTCTGGCTGAAAAGAACAAAGAAGTGCTTCTTAAGCCCAAGAAAATGGAAGTTAACAAGGAAGTGCATTAGCTAGACCAGAACACCAGCAGGAACCAAAGCTACTTGCGCTCAGCAAGCTCAGCGCTGGCGGGCTCACTGTGCGCCTCTGGTTCCCGTTCTGTCTGTTTGTGTCATTTTCCTCCACCCGTGTGCAGCTTCTGTTTCCTCATGATTCAGCCTGCTGTTTTCTCTCCCTTCCTCATGGCATCCTGACAGCTGTGGCCTCTGCCACCTAACAAGTTCTTCCGATTTTCATATGCCTCGAGGGGACATCTGATTGGCCTGGCTAATTGTTTAATGGCAGGTCATAGGTCACTGAATAGCCCATATGGCTGGGGTGCTGCACGGTGCACACCCTCGACATGAAAGGGGTGGTTCCATTTGTAGGGGGCCCGAATGGCATCTCCATCTCTATCACAGGTCAAATCTGTCTCCCTGTGGCTTCTCTTTGCCAGGCCTGGATTTACTTCTGGAGTCACCTAGTTCTCATAATGCCAGTTCACTTCTGTCTTACAGGTAAAGCATGGCCACTCCAAGCTGGTCTGGTGTGCTCTTGTCGGGAAAACTTTCTACTACTACCGGAGCCATGAGGACAAGGTACTTCCTCAGCCTCCGGAAAGTACCCACTCTCCTGCTTCCCCTAAAGCACATGACTGTCACTCCATGTGCTGATGAAAGTCCCTACCCCACGTAACCCCACAATAAATACAAAACCAGTTGGCTAGATGCCTCCAGAATGTGAGAGTCTGCCTGTCTGGGTCTCTGGTGCTTCTCCAAGCAAGCCTTGTTCTGCTGCCAGCCTGGCTGGGATGCTATAGTCTCCACCTCCCCATCTTGTCATCTGTCCATATTCACGATTCCCAGCTCTACAGAGCCTATGTATTTGGAGAGAGGAGACTCCCTGTCCCCCACTGGCTCTCTGATTCATGGAAGGCTCTTGTCCACAGCGACCCCTGGGCTGCCTGCCTGTGCGGGACGCGCGCGTAGAGGAAGTAGATCGATCCTGTGACTCAGACGAGGACTATGAGGCTGGAGGAACCAGACGGTTGCTTTCCTCCCACTGCACCCTGGTGATCCACCCCCCAGAGCACAGCCCCACCTACCTCCTCATTGGCACCAAGCATGAAAAGGTAAGGAATGGGGCTGGGCCTCCAGGGTCAAGCTTAGACCTGTGATTCTGATCTTCCCTTCTCTTTCCCCTGAGCCTCCCAAAATTCAAGTTTATTTCCTTTTGGACACTTTGGCAACTGATATTCTCTGAACAGGAATATTCCTTTATATCCAATCTATTCCCAGTGACCAACATTGCTTCAGTGAGGTCATGTGATAGAATCGCAAATTGGAATCTTGGGTTCATGTTCACCTGATCCTCAGTCTTTCCAGGTAGCCCTGACTCATGCCTGCCAAACTAGCTGAACCCCACCATGGGCTTGGCCCCTTCGAGGAGCCCTCCTTGGAGCTCTTGCCTCTACTCTTCCCTCCCCATCCCCATCCGATGGCTTTCTACACTCTTCCAGGATACATGGCTCTACCACCTCACAGTGGCTGCGGGTGGCAGCAGTGCCAAGGTGGGCACTGCCTATGAGCAGCTCATTGGAAAACTGATGGATGGTGAGGGAGACCCAGGTAAGGCAAGGGTGGTCACCACTGCTTGGGTCGGAGGGTAGTGGCTAGGTGACTGTTGGTCAAGATCCCAAAGAAAGCAGTGTTGTACCCCAAAGCTGTTTTTAAAACATCTAAGCCACAGAGGGGAAGTTCCCATCCCAAGCTCCAGGGCCCTTCTGTCTCCAGCTGAGATCCTGAGGTGACCACCCTGCATCTGAAGGGGTTCATCTGGGAACCCAATTTTCCAGGGACCTGGGTCAATGTTTTACTTTAATCAACCTGCAGCATTGCTGGCTGGGCAGAAGGTTGAAGAAAGAAGGTAGCTGGTTAATTTATAGTTAGAATTTGTTAATCAATAAGTGAAGCCTAAATTGGGATCCTGCCAACCTGTTTGCAGTCTTTATTTTGCTACTGATTCTCAGGGCCCTGGGGAACTAATTAATGGCACATATCACACACACCCCTTTACTACTTTTCTGAGGCTTGTGTATTTCCGACCCATTCATATACTCCTCCATCCAGACCTGACACAGTAAGAAAGACGCCTCCCCTGCACACATCCATCTGCACTCAGATACCCACAATCTTGCACACTCACCCCTACTGCTACTCCATGAGGACGGCCATGTAGATGAGGGTGCTTATGGCAATGCCCACCTGCATACCCCTATGGATGATAAACCCAGCACAACCCAAGTGTCTTCCAAGTTTATTCCAAGATAGATAAACTGCTATCTTCCCCACAAATTAAAGTTGAGGGTAAGTGGGAGGTGAGTCCCCTCTCAGTAGTAACTGCCCCTGCTCTCTGGTGCTGTGCTTTGGGCAGATTCCCCACTCTGGAGGCACCCCATGCTGTGCTACAGCAAAGATGGCCTGTACGCCTCCCTCACCACCCTGCCCTCGGAGGCCTTACAGACGGAAGCCCTCAAGCTCTTCAAGGTAAACTGGTGTGGAGGCCAGGCGCACCAGCGGGATACTGTCAATACTTGGGTGGAGAAGACCTGTGCAGTTGGGGGGCAACCCACAGAGAGATTTGGAGAGGAAATGAAGGAAACTCCCCAAGGTCCCTGTGGCTTCCTGGATGGCAGGAATGTACAGTAATCCTCTCGCTGGGAGGGAAGCAGCTCTGGAACATCATGCCCAGTCCTTGGGAAATGCCAGTGAACACTATTCTTGAGGAGATCCCCTCCTCCTATAGATAAGCAGAAAAGACCAGGTTTATGTTGTTCTGGACCTGAGAGATTTGGACCTATGTTAGCATGTTCTTTGTGAATGTCTGAGTTTTGTTTTTTTGTTTTTGTTCTCATTTTTGAGATGGAGTCTCACTCGGTTGCCCAGGCTGGAGTGCAGTGGCATGATCTTGGCTCACTGCCTCCCTGGTTCAAGCAATTATCCTGCCTCAGCCTCCAAGTAGCTGGGATTACAGGCACCCACCACCATGCCTGGCCAATTTTTGTATTTTTAGTAGAGATAGGGTTTCACCATCTTGGCCAGGCTGGTCTTGAACTCTTGACCTTGTGATCTACCCAGCTCGGCGTCCCAAAGTGCTGGGATTACAAGCATGAGCCACTACAACTGGCCTGAGTTTTCTGTTTTTTTAAAAAATGAATTTGCCTTGTTTATGTAATGAGAACATTTTAAAAAGGAAAGATTCTATCCCAAAGTAGCCCATAGCCCCTTTTAGTAAGCAGAGATGCCCTCAAGCAGTAACAGTGCTCCGTCTTACAAAGGGCTGTCAGTGAACTTGAACCTCCCTTGAACGCTTGGAAAATGGCCAAGCCATTCAGTTCTCCAAACCCAGGGGATGCTGGTCTGCCTGTGCTCACTGTCATTCTCTCCCAGTCCTGCCAGCTCTTCATCAATGTGCCGGTGGAAGCTGCCTCAGTGGACTACCATGTGTCCCTGGCCCAGACCGCGCTGCAGGTCTGCCTGGTTCACCCCGAGCTACAGAGTGAGATCTACTGCCAACTCATGAAGCAGACCAGCTGCCGCCCGCCTCAGAAGTACTCCCTCATGCAGGTGGGCATGCCAGGGGTGGAGCAGCTGACAGAAGCCATTGGCACAGGCTGCCCAGGTGGGAAAGGTGGGAGGAGGTGAGCGGGCAGGCGTGCTGTGAACTCAGCCGGTGGGCATCCTCTGTGCTCCACACTGCATCAGTATGGCTGAGCTATCTGTGCACAGACTGATGATTGCATTCTGGACACAGTTGACCAAGTTGGCCATCCCAGTACCCACAGCAGGTTGGGGGCTCTGGTTTGGGGGAAGAATGCTGAAGGCTCTGTAGCTCGGGGCTGTGAGGACAGGTGGTACTGCAGGCCCAGCATTAACCCCACGCTGTCTGTGTCCCTGGCAGTGCTGGCAGCTCCTCGCTCTGTGTGCTCCACTTTTCCTGCCTCAGCATCACTTCCTCTGGTATGTCAAGCAGCAGCTCCAACGCCATGCAGATCCCAGGTGAGTGAACCCGGCTGTTTCCTCTGCCATTTGAGCACTGCCAGCTGCAGCATGAATACAAGGGATGAGAGGAGTCTAGGACAGACCAGATCACTCCTGTCCTCTGAGACCACTCAGTGCTCGTGGAGACTTCACCCATCGTCTTCTGCACAAATGGGGGCATCGGGATCTGGGCATGCTTCAGCTTCTCTGCACACCAATCCATGCCTCCACGGATGTACTGTGGCAACTCTCGCCTGAAGCCATACTGCCCCCAAACTGTCCCCAAATGCTATTCTGTTGTTATGTCCTCTGGGTTTTGGAAGAAATATCCATGCCAGTAATTTGCTACATAAAGGTCCTGAATGACAAATTAACGCCCCAGACCAGAAACTTCAGGGCTTTTCTCACAACCTGCCCCACCTACAGTTTTGGTCCTGGCTGAGTCTGGATAGGGACTGAGGGTGCCAAAGTGACAGGGATGAGCAGAGTCCCTCATATTCCCCTCTTCCTTCTGTCTCTTTAGAAATGAAACTGGCCAGTATGCCACCTACTGCCAGCGGGCAGTGGAGCGGACCCTGCAGGCCGGGGAGCGGGAAGCCAGGCCATCACGCATGGAAGTGGTGTCCATCCTGCTGCGCAACCCCTTCCACCACTCCTTGCCCTTCAGCATCCCCGTGCACTTTACCAATGGGACTTACCAGGTGAGGAGCTGGGCATGCTCCTTGCCCCTAGTCTTCTCCTGTCACCATCCAGCAAATACCTCTGGGCCAGGTGGATGCTAAGGCTCCTTAGGCTTGGCAGATTCTTCACTGGTGCCCCACAGGTAGATTTTATGAACTGATTGCATGAACGGGGAAGCTGAGATGCTGACCATGAAAGTGGCATAAGAAAGGGCCTCCAAAAGATTGTTGGTAAAGGACGGACCCAGCTTATGCCCAGTTGGTTTACAGTGGAAGGGCTCACATCACTGGCCCTTTGCTTATGAACACAGAAACCAACTTGCTTTGGCCTCTTGTATTCGCCCTTGCTCCTTTCTACCTGCTATACCCAGACCCCTTCACCAGCCCTAGTGAGCTCCTCTCAGGAAGTTCACTCTGGGACGGAACCTTTTCCCACCTCAGGTGGTTGGTTTTGACGGCTCCTCCACGGTTGACGAGTTCCTTCAGCGGATGAACCAGGAGATAGGCATGAGAAAGCCATCCCACTCTGGCTTTGCCCTCTTCACGGATGATCCTTCAGGCAGGGACCTGGAGCACTGCCTGCAGGGAAGTGTCAAGGTGACAGCCTCCCACTAAGCCAGTTGAGCCCCTCTCTGCTCAGGGATCTTGGTGGTGGGGAAAGAGCTCATCTGATGGGTGCCTGACTGGTAGCTCATTTGGTGCTGAGCCCAAGGTGCTTCCTTAGTCAGCATTTCTATGCCATCCTAAAATGTACCTGGGTGGGGAGAAGAAAGTGCTCTTGTCTCTGGGGACAAGATCTCTACAATCCTACTTCCCTGGAGTGGCTATCAGCATCCAGAAGAAAAGCGTCTTCTTGGCTTGGTGTAGGGACATGGAGGCCCCACGAAGCCACTGCCTACGTGTGCCCACTCAGAGGCTCTCAGCTGTATGCATGGATCCCCTGGATGTCATGTTGTACCCAGCACCTCACTTTTACCCTTTCTGCCAGGACCTATGCCATGCTTATATGTTGGACACTTTAAAGAGGCAGGTCCTTATGGTGTCCCTATAACTAAAGGCCACTGAATGGGATTTAAAATCAATCTTATATTGTGGTCTGGGATTACTGTCTTGAGGGATCAGTGTTTGTGAGAAGGTGCTGTAGCACTTTGATGCATATTTGGCTCCAGTGTGTACTTTCTTTAAGGCAACAGGATAAAAGTTTCTATGGTCTTTTAACATTGCCTGGAAAAACTATGCCACATACCTTCTTTGCCAATGTCTAGGCATCTGTAAGGCTTTGTTACACGGTAGGCCTCTGGGCATATTTGTTGAAGTGGAGAACAGCAGTCAGTGGAATGGAAATGGAGCTGGTGATCGCAGGCCAGGGGGCTGCCTAGCCTCTGGGGAGGCCCCTCAGTTGGTGAGGCCAGCAGGGCAGATTTCTCAGTTTATTGCTTACCCTGCCCTGGGTTCCCTCTGTTTGTGAGTGAGCCGCGGCCACATTGGGTCCAGGGAGCATGAGGCTTTACAGATCGGCCTCCTGCCGGGAGGACCTTTCCTTAGCTTTCTTTGCTCTTCTGCTGTGAGTCCTGCCCTGGCTGGACCTTGATCCCTTCTCCCCTTATCAGGAACTTTTCTGACTTTCTTCTTTTGCCTTTTCAAGATCTGCGATGCCATCTCCAAGTGGGAACAAGCCCAGAAGGAGCTGCACCCCAGGAAGCCTGAGGGTGGGACACGTGTCGTGAAGCTGATGTACAAGAACAGGTCCTAAGCACTGCACAAGGGCGGGGCCAAACATCAAGGCTGCCACTGGGTGCAGCTCATTACCTCCTCGACTAGACGGCCTATCCATACAGGGGAGGGGCCCACAGATATAACATGGCCTGGCAGTCACTAGCTGGGGCACAGGCTGGCTCTCCTGCTGATACTCTGTGAAACCCTGGGCAGCTCATGCCTTCTGTCAGCCTTCCCTGTACTTCGTGTGCGTGTATATACACACATAGACACACACATGTGCACATGCACGCACAAATGCATGTACATTTGCCAAGAAAACAGACCAGACCAGCCTGGGCAACATGGCAAAACCCCACCTCTACAAAAAATACAAAAATTAGCAGGCATGGTGGCATGCACCTGTAGTCCCAGCTACTCGGAGGGAGGGACTGAGGTGGGAGGATCGCTTAAGCCCAGGAGGTCAAGGTTGCAGTGAGCTGAGATTGCGCCACTATAGTCCAGCCTGAGCAACAGAGTGAGACCCTGCCTCAAAAAAAAAAGGAAAAGGAAATAGACCAACCTCATGGGATGGCTAAGTGTGTTACTTTGTGAGAGTGAAATTTTGTATGAGCACCAGCTGTTTAAAGAATAAGAAGCTCCTATATCAATTCCAGAAAATATAGAAGTAGACATCCTGACTTTCTATCAATTCGAGCAAGAAAATCCCATCCCTTCATCTCAGCATGTCTCCAGGCAAATAGTTTCCAATAGTGTCTTACCTCACCCAGTCCCCTAATCTATAATTCCAGGTACCAGATTCCCCTTACCAAATGCAGTAAGTTTAACGGTGTCTTCAGAATGAACCAAGTCCTCCTGTTGGCATGGGATCAGGATGGCACTGCATCTGCTATGTCATACTTGGTTACATGTTTCTGGAGGCAATACAAAATAGGCTCACAAATAATGTGAGAAGAGTAGTTACTCTTTTTGGAAATAAAGGTAACAGACCCAGAGAAAGCCCCATCCCTGTTTGGGATCCCTGCTGAGTCCTGGCTTCTTACTCTTCCCTGCAGGCTGTACTTCCGCAGTCAAGTCAAAGGGGAGACCGACCGAGAACGGCTGCTCCTTGCCTCTCAAACTAGTAGAGAGATATTGGCAGGGAGGTTTCCTGTCAACAAGGAGTTGGCTCTTGAGATGGCTGCCCTGATGGCCCAGGTAAGGTTCTGTTCGGGAAGCAGGAGAGTCGGGTTACCAGCTTAGAATGAATGCACCATGCAGCCTGAAACACTGGAGAGATCCTGCAGATCCTGTGGTGCCCAGAAGAGGGCAGCCTTGCCGTCTCTGGGGTGGAGAGCAGCTGACTCCTACAGAGCGGAGCTCCTCCCTCACCGCAGATACAGGATGTGTGCAGAAGGCTGGACTTGGAATCCAGAGACCTGGGTTTGAGTCCTATAAACCTTCCAATTGTGAGGTCTTAGCCAAGTCACTTCACTTGTCTATGCTTTAGTTTCCTTCTTTGTATACCAAAAACAAAAATACTTGGCCGGGAGCAGTGGCTTATGCTTATGATCCCAGTACTTTGGGAGGCCAAGGCGAGCAGATCACCTGAGGTCAGGAGTTCGAGACCAGCCTGGCCAATACGGTGAAACATGTCTCTGCTGAAAAAAAAAAAAAATTAGCTGGGCGTGGTGGTGGGCACCTGTAATCCCAGCTACTCAGGAGGCTGAGGCAGGAGAATCATTTGTACCTGGGAAGTGGAAGTTGCAGTGAGCCAAGATCGCACCATTGCACTTCAGCATGGGCAACAAGAGCAAAACTCTGGCTCAAAATAAACACTTCTCTGCCAGCCTTCACAGGGTTGTATTAAGTATGATACCTGGATAATGCATTATGTATGTGATAAACTCTATAAACCATCAGACCTAAGTAGAATTAGACCAGTGGCCTTCTAAATGTAATGGGAAGGAGAGTCCAAGTCTGAATGTGTGTTCCTCTTCCTAATTCTACTTAGGTCTGATGGTTTATAAAGTTTACCTGGAATACCTTCATGGCTCCCATAACAGAGTCTGACACCTACTATATACCCACAAAATTTAAAATATTGGGGCCAGGTATGGTGGCTCATGCCATGGGAGTTTGAGACCATGGGTTGGGAGTTTGAGACCAGCCTGACCAGTATGGAGGGTTTGCGTCTCTCTAGGTATGGTGGTGCATGTCTGTAACCCCAACTACTTGGGAGGGTGAGGCAGGAGAACTGCATGAACCCGGGAGGTGGTGGTTGCAGTAAGCCAAGATCATGCCATTGCACTCCAGCCTGGGCAATAAGAGCGAAACTCTATCATCTCAAAAAAAAAAGAAAGAAAATAAAAATTTTTTTTTTTTTTTTTTTTTTTTTTTTGAGACGGAGTTTCGCTCTTGTTGCCCAGGCTGGAGTGCAATGGCGCGATCTCGGCTCACCGCAACCTCCACCTCCTGGGTTCAGGCAATTCTCCTGCCTCAGCCTCCTGAGTAGCTGGGATTACAGGCACGCACCACCACGCCCAGCTAATTTCTGTATTTTTAGTAAAGACGGGGTTTCACCATGTTGACCAGGATGGTCTCGATCTCTTGACATCGTGATCCACCCGCCTCGGCCTCCCAAAGTGCTGGGATTACAGGCATGAGCCACCGCGCCCGGCCTCAAAAGTATTTTTTAAAAAAGAATGAGAAAGAATCTGGATTTACATGCTGGAAAGTAAAGGGAAACAATAACAGCTGATCTTTATAATTATAAACATCAATAGCAATACTGTATGGGAGGCCTTGTACTAAGCATATATGCAATCTCCCTTGTGTATATATATCTGTATATAGCATACATCCTATTCCCACCTAATAGATGAGGAAATTGAAGCTCACTGAGTTTAAGTAACTTGATCAGAGACACAAAGCTGGGATTTGCGCCAGGTGTCCAACTCCAAAGGCCACATTTAGAACACTCTGCTGTACTCTGGGATCTGCAGCATCTTCAATTCTATAGCCATATTTTTTTACTGAAAGCCAGAATTTCCACATTGTTTTCCCGTCTGCTACCAATTAACTGTCTTTGGAAAAGGCACTTCACTTCAGCTGCAAAATCAAAGTTAGTCAGTGATCTCTAATATTCTAGGGCCCTAAGTTTATTTCTCTAGTCTCTATAAAACTTGAGATGAAGTGTTTTTCCAAAGTATTTTTTATGTCCACTCACACCCCACCAATAGGGCAATAAAATAATGGTTTATTCCACCTCTCAACAGCTCGCACCTGGCCCATTCACCTTCAGATTTTGACTGGTCTCCATGTGCTTCTACCACAGGTAGAATACGGGGACTTGGAGAAGCCTGCCCTGCCAGGCCCTGGAGGCACATCCCCTGCCAAGGCTCAGCATCTCCTCCAGCAGGTCCTGGACAGGTTCTATCCCAGGCGATACAGACATGGGGCCCCCCCTGAACAGCTGAGGTAGGTAGGCTGCAAGGTTTTGCAGCAAGTCACTGTGGGGAGGCCTCAGAGCTGGAATGAAGACATGCTGGCACTTCACTGGCACCATTTCTCTCCATCTGCCCACATCAGGCACCTGGCAGATATGTTGACCACAAAATGGGCAGCATTGCAAGGCTGCTCCCCTCCTGAGTGCATCCGCATCTACCTGACGGTGGCCAGGAAATGGCCTTTCTTTGGTGCTAAGCTTTTTGCTGCTCAGGTAAGTGCCAGTGGAAGGAGCAGCCCACACCCTCAGGTGTGTCCCCATCTGCTCCTGTTTGAGCCAGACCAGTCTGCAGCCCCCACTTCCACACCAGTAACCACCAGGGGTCACTATCCCTCCTCCATTTCTGGCCTTCTCCAGATTTCAGCAGTTCAGAGCAGAGTTAATTGTGATTGCTTATCTTCATCTGTCCTTTGTTGACTACCCCAATAGAAAAGATACGATCAACTAATTCACACACAAACATTCAGACTTGATATAATATCCCTCTCAAGAGTGCTTTTGTTTTGTTTTTTTGAAGTTTGAAAGAACGATGTATAACCTAAACAAATATATCTCCACTGGTTTGACATGGATACAGGGGAATCACATTACTCAGGCAACAGTTAATTTCACCTCTGTATGAAGGCCAGGTGGGCAATAGTAATTTCAGAAGGAACTTTTCTTCACTGGGTGTCTGGTGTGCATAAACATTATAGATAATTACAGCTCAAAGATGGGCAGTGATCCTGTTTACTGAAGCCACAGATCAGAAAATGGTCATTCATTCATTCAACAAATAGTTGAGCTCCTACTATGTCCAGTGCTGGTTGTTTGAGGTTATAAGAGGTGAGAAAATCAGACATAGTCCTTGCCTTCATGGAGCTTCCCATCTAGTGCAGGAGATGTATATTCATCAAACAGTTGTGTTCATTTTTTTCTCTATACATATTTAGTATGTATAAGCCATCACAAGTGCTGTGAAGGAAATGTACAGAGCTTGTTATAAAGGTATATAATGGGGACCCACTTGGTCTGGGAGGTTGGGAAAAGCTTCTGAAAAATAACACATGTCCAATGTCTATCTGCCTCCCTTTGGGGTAAGAGAGAGAGATTTTCTGGATTGCCATAGTGTAGTCCTGGCAGGGAAAATCAGTCATTACAGGAATGTGCACTAAATAGTCACTTTCTTACTGGTAGGGCCTAAAGCCACAGGACTGCATTCTTGCTTTCCTATTTCTTACAGTCCCTAGGAGATTGGTTGAAGTCAGAGGCACTTCAGCTTGGAGACTAGAGGTTTCAGAATGCTGTTTCCAAGACTAGGAGAAAACCACCTGTTCCCCATTCCCCTAACAGAGCAGCCAGGGCCGGCCTCTGTTCTGTAGCACAGAGCTTTCCATCCAGTGTGCTGTGGCAGCATGGGTTCTCAGGACACCAAGAGAAAGATCGCCTCTGCCTTTGAGATGGTTAGTAGGTGGCCAGAGCCCCAAGGCCAAGTGTCTCCTTTCACAAGTAGCTTTTTCTATTTACTGCATACACCATACGAAACCATCTTTGTTTTCTAAGATCAGGTGGCTGAAAATCACTGCCTAGCAGATCCCTGGATGTGCCTTCTTTCTCAGAAGGTTCTTATGGTTCAAAATCTCTAACTGTGGACATACCTGATGGGTTATTTCTGTTTCCCTAGCCTGCCCAGCTGTCTTCCAAGGAGAATACTCTGGTGTGGATTGCTGTGAATGAGGATGGTGTCAGCATCCTGGACCACAACACTATGGTATGAAAGGATGCAGGCTGCTCCCTGACCCCTCCGGTTCCTCAGCATGGTCTTTTCTTCTCCTCTGTGGACTCAAAAGCCTGAAGCCAGTGACCATGGTTGCCCTAGCCCCTCTCGTGCCCTAGCCCCACTGTCCTCTAGTCTAGACACTGTTCGTAGACATTCAAGACAGAGATCTCCAAATTATGACCACTTGGGAGTTTTTTCCTAATTAAGGCTGCCTGTGCCTAGAAGAGACGGGGGTGCTGGTGCCTAGCTCGGGGGACAGGTGGAAAGTTTCCCCAGAACTGACTGGTTCCTTTCCACAGCAAGTGCACATCACTTACCCCTACTCTTCAGTGACAACCTTTGGTGGCTGCAGGGATGACTTCATGCTTGTGATTAGAACTATCCCAGACCAGAGCTCTGGAAAAAGCCACATTGAGAAGTTGATCTTCCGGATGGCTGCTGCCAAGGTAGGTCTGACAGCTGCTAAAACGTTCTACTCTGGTAAGATGTGGTGGGCTTGGAGCTTAGAAAGGAAACTGGGGTTATGCTAGTGCTCTACAAGGGCCTTGCCCAGATAAAAGTGTGGGCCTTATCTGTAATTAGTATTCTAAAGGGTTCAGGTGGTGTTGCATCTCAATATCACTGTTCAGCTAGTAGGTAAAGGAGCATATTCGGAGGGAGCTAACTCTGGCATTGCTACTATTATGCTATTCGCTTTTTCTTTTTTATTCTCTCAAGCCCCGGCATCATGCAGTCCTCAGTTGGGTGCTTACTTGCTCTATTCTCTTCCTTGCAGCAGACTCGAGGCAGGGCAGCTTCCTCGTTACAGTGCTCTCATGTTATCCCTGGGTTCTGCTGACCCAACGCTAGCTACAAAGTGGGACAGTCCCACAGTGCTCCCTCTTCCTTGTCATGGGGAAGACAGCAAAAAGACCTCTTTTGCTTTAATGACTTTGTTCTATTCAATATAGGAAATGTTGACCAGCAAAAATAGCAATTACAAAGGCTTAGGAACCTAAGTTGATTTATTGTTCCTAACTCCGCTGTGACTCACTGGAAAGCCCGTTGTTCTCAACTTTTTAATCCTAAAGTTAGAGTTTGCCAAACCTACTCCTCCTTTAATACCACCCCTGCCAAAGGAGAGGATCTACAGATCCCTTTCTCAAGAAGGCCCCCTTCCCTGGTTGTAGAGCTAAGCAGAGTAGAACACAGGGCCTCCTTTTCTCAGAAGGGCACTGTGCATCTCAGAGGATCTCCAGACCAACAGGGGTCCACATCACTAGGCCTCTGAACTGCAGTCATGATTCTCTTTGGATATTTTCTCCCAGGTGGATATGTTAAAAGATTAAATAAACTGAGGCCCAGGAACTCAATATAAGAGCTAATAAGTGAGAAAGCCAGGATTCAAGCCAAGAATAGTTAATTCTTCCACATCTCTGACCTCCTCTTAGATTGCAGAAGCTACCTTCATCATGGCCAGCTATATGAACCATTGCTCTACAACTGTGAACCCACCCACCCACCCACCTGGAGCCCGCCAGCTGTGGGAACTGGATGGACGACAGTTCTTTGCTTCTGTTTCCTGTGCTACCAAGGGGCCAACGTTGCTGTGAATATTTCTCCTACTGCATTCCCCACCACCACTAGTGCCTCTGGATTTAGAGATACATATCCTGGAGTATGATACTACTGTGATGGGTCTAACAGCCCCCCACCACTCTTGTTCTGTGAAATGTGCATTTTAGTGTCTGTGAAGCCTTTACTCTCTAGGTGCTTTATAATGTTTCAGGGCCCAGCTTTTTAAAATCCAGACCCAGTGTTAAAACCACTTATTCCTTTTTTTTTGTAAGAATGACTCTAGATGCTACCTGATTCTATAGACAGGGGTGATCCACTATTACTGAGGGCATCAGTGCTATAAGTTAAGGCTTTCTGCACTGATACTCTCAAGGAAGCTTTTTGGGGGGGGGGAGGGGATAGGATAGGATAGAGTCTATGTTGCCCAGGTTGGAGTGCAGTGGCCCGATCTTGGCTCACTGCAACCTCCGCTTCCCAGGTTCAAGCAGTTCTCCTGCCTCAGCCTCCTGAGTAGCTGGGATTGCAGGTGTGCACCACCATGCCTAATTTTTGTACTTTTAGTAGAGATGGGTTCTCACCATGTTGGCTAGGCTGTTCTCGAACTCCTGACCTCAGGTGATCCACCCACCTTGGCCTCCCAAAGTGCTAGGATTACAGGCGTGAGCCACCACGTCTGGCCTGGAAGCTAATTTTTTAATATTGTATATGGTCTTATTTATACTTGAAGTTTTCTGAACGTCACTAAACAGAATAGGAGTAAAATTTCCAATTCTCCTGCACTCTGACAGAAGCCTAGAACTCACTAAACTGGACTGCCTTTCCCAAATGGGAAAGGTGCTGACAGAGCTGGAGAAAAAAGAATAGACTCACTTTTCTCCATTATTGGTATGTAGGCATTGGTACTGCCCCTTTTCCCTGCTAAGATTCAAGCTCTTTCTCTCACACTGGACTATAAGCCAAACCCATGCAATGTGCAAGCAGGGGAAGGGAGTAGTTCCAATCTGACCTCTCCCTGTCTCATTTTAATGACTGGACAGGGCTCAGTGAAGGCTGTGTTCACTACTGTGGGCCACTATTTGTTTCCTTGCTCTTGTAAAAGACCAAGCAAATGCACTCTGCTTTTTGCTGCTGTAAGACCACCAAAAATGAGTCAGAAACACAGAAGACTATTTCAGGCATGTGGGCCTGGATATGCTCCTTGAGACTTCTGGCAAACTTCTGCTGGGAATTAGTTTGAGGGTGAGGATACATATGTGATAGTTGCCCTAGCCTAAGAGTAGCAGCTAAAAGAAATAAAGTTTCTTTCATCCTTTGCCTTACTGATAACACCATAGCCCTTCTCAATTCAGATCTTCTGATTGAGTGCAGAGGAGACTATCTACACCTTCCCCTAACAAAACCAAAACGAAAGAGTTCATACTCTGATTTTCCAATATCTGAGAAACTGAGTTCTATTTCATAGCTCTAAGGCAGCCTTACTATCTGTCAATAAAGTGCTGAAAACTATTTAGCAGTAGCATCCAAAACCAAGCCTTTAGCCAATAATATCTGCATATTGTGCACAGCAAAAACTGTGAGGCCAGGACTAGTTTATCTGAATGCCTCAGCTGCTGTAAGCTTCTCCTCTTTCACCCTGTAAACTGACAAGCATGATGAAAAAAGCAGCACATCCAAGTCTCTGCCTCTTTTAAATGTACTTGACTTTGCAAGGCAAGTAGTTGTACAGTCATTTCTATTCACACCCTTTACCCCAGGATTTGGGGATTTAGCTGAGACATTTCTACCTCGAACAAGTCACATGTACTACAGGTTCCTGAACAATTCCTGCAGGGCTGGTGATAGACATAACGGCTCTGGTTTTATAATATCTTGGGTGTCTCTAAGGCCAATAAGAACAACATTATCTACCCAGAGAAAGCATAGTAGGAGCCCGAAGGAAGAGTAAACAAGAAAGGAGCTGTGTTCACACTGAATTTGTGGTCAGTCTATTTCCCCCACCCTCTCTCCATGCCAACCCTTCAGGAATCCTCTTTTAGTTTACTGATTTTATACAGAAGAAACTGCCTTAGAAACAAAGGATTCAATGATTTGCTTATTTATTCTTTTTTAACATTAGTGTCCCATGTCTGAAAACCAAAGTCAAATTTCTGTCTGGCCTTTTGTCTCATCTCTCTTGGCAAAAGTATCTTTTAAAATGATTTTAAAAATGCTGAGTAACAGAAAAGTATTAATGTGCTTGACACCATGACTGAAATGCCATGATCTTGTTTGTCAATAAAAAGCAGCTATCTGTGAACCAGGTAACTGTTGTTTTGGAAGGAAATCTGTTTATTAAGAGAGTCGTAAACAAGCCCTGTAGAGAACACAGGTGCTAGGTTGACAGACTCATCTTTTGTAGGACATTTCTTCCTGCTAAACAGTACCTGATGGGCTTGATTTTTTTTTTTTTTTTTTGTAAGTTGACACAGGGTTACTATGTAATTAGTAAGTATACCTTTCTCAAGACAGTTGATGGTAGCTTTCCATTGTTTTGCTTCACCAACATCAACACAAAGTAAACCTGAACATGCTTAGCAATTTCACAAAGTGCTTTGCTGACATTACTTTTGACATACTGTGTCAAAATTCTTACGGTCTCCCCTCCTTTGGTAAAGTAGGCAAAACCTTACAAGGAAAACACTGTAATACACAGAAATACATTGAATTAGATTTCCAGTCACCTGCTCTATGGCTGAGATGCACTACATCCATACTGGTTCCTACGACTGTGTCCACCTGATGGTTTAGAGTATGGAAAACCAGACACTATGGCTTAAAAGTCATCTCCTGTGAAAGATAATGCTGGCCTTCTGAATGCTGGGCCTCATGGGTTTGTAGATGTGGCTTTCTGCTGTGCCAGGATCTCCTGGCAGCTCCTGTATACTTCAATCAAGCAATCCAGCCGGGGCTTGGCACTCTGAATTCCAAAGGGGAGATATGCAGAGTCAAGGTGAATGTGAGAACAGTGGTGCTGCATCCACATGCAACTTTTTTTTTTTTTTTTGAGACAGAGTCTTGCCCTGTCCCCCAGGGTGGAGTATAGTAGCACAATCTCAGCTCACTGCAACCTCTGCATCCTGGGTTCAAATGATTCTTGTGCCTCAGCCTCCCAAGTAGCTGAGACTACAGGCACAAACCACCATGCCCAGCTAATTTTTGTATTTTTAGTAGAGACTGGGTTTCGCCATGTTGGCCAGGCTGCTCTTGAAGGCCTGCCCCAATCTCCCAAAGTGCTGGGATTAGAGGCGTGAGCCAAGGTGCTGGGCCCACATGCAATTTCAATCTCTCACCCACATCAAAGGGTATAAATAGCACAGCAGTGAGCTCAGGGAGTTAAGTTCAGGCCTCAGAGCACCTTGCTGGGAAGAGTCCCAGCTAGGCTCACAGCCCAGCTTGTGAATTGTGCGAGGTAAGAGATCAAATGATAGCTTTTTAATCTGTCTAAATTTCATGAACTCCATCTCTAAGAGTAAGCAAGAGGATAAATAAAATGGACCCTCGAGAAATGTCACAAGTTGTAAAATAGCCCTCAAAGACAAGAAGGGCAATTTAATATGTAAATATTGAAAAATGCTTTGTACAATGAAATGTAACACAACCGAAATTAAAAGAAAAACCACAGAATGGAAAAAATATATGTGAAAGTATATTTAATAAAAGTGTACTACCCAAAATATATAAAGAATTGTTAAAAATATAAAAAATCTATACAAATATATAATGTTCAGTTTCTACCTAACAGAGAAGATAGGTAGTTTAAAATAATAGGAAATATTGATAGGTAATACAAGGAAATATAAAAAACCTATCATTTAAAGAGATACAAATTCACCTACTTTAAAATGCCTTTACCTACACATTAGGTTAACAAAGCTAAATTCGCTATTAGACAAGATGGTAGAAAAACAAGTACAGGCCGGGCGCGGTGGCTCAAGCCTGTAATCCCAGCACTTTGGGAGGCCGAGGCGGGTAGATCACGAGGTCAAGAGATCAAGACCATCCTGGTCAACATGGTGAAACCCCGTCTCTATAAAACTACAAAAAAATTAGCTGGGCATGGTGGCGCGTGCCTGTAATCCCAGCTACTCAGGAGGCTGAGGCA